GGAGGGGGGAAGCAAGAGTCTTTATGGGAACTCACTCTCCAGAGAATCTCACAGTCCCACCTGTGCCATCGCCATCTTACAGAAACTCCCTCTTCATGTTCTAATCCCATTTTCTACTTCTGAAATGGGGTCATTATATTGTACTAACTATACTTCTTTACATTTATATTTGCTTTTAAAAAATAAGTGACATAGTTGGCTTATATATATTCTAATTTACATATCATATAAATTTGTTATTTCATTTTTTTAATACATTCACTACTATGTTTCTGATACATACACGTTCCAATATGTGCTCCATAGTTGTCACTCATTACAAACTTCTAATAAGAGTTTTAGGAATGGGCAACCAGGTTGCCATGGAAGACTTGACACTCTAGATTTCACTGCATTTAACTTTATACGTGGCTTTTTCCTTTGAGAATATACATTATATATTATATATGTATATATAATGTATATACTATATGAAGGGGGCCCTCCAAAACTTGGCATTATTTTTTTGGGGGGTGAAGCCCTCGTAGTATGGACTTCCCTAGCTAATTAAGTGTTCTAGGAGCCCATCAGAATTAGTTTATTAGGTAGTGTTGTTGTGAGAGGCTGTGTTTGGCTTCAGTAAATTTTTTTTGGAGAGTCTCTTAAATGTGTTTGCCCATTTCTTGATGGGTGATTTACAAGTGTACCTGCCCATACTGCTCTGAGCATTCAGCAGTTTTGGACCCATGCTGGCATGACCCCTGTGCCCTACTCTCCCTATTCACCTGCTCTCACCCCAAGTGACTTCTTTTTGTTTCCTTGGATGAAAAAAGTCCTCAAAGGAAAACATTTTTCTATGTGGAAGAACTGAAGCAAAAAACAGCAGAAGCACTCAAAGGCATCAAAATTGATGAGTTCAAAAACCGTTTTGAATAGTGGAAAAAACACCTTCACAGGTGTATTGCATCAAACAGAGAGCGCATTAAAGGTAACTGAAGTTTAAACATGTAAGAATAAGTATACATTTTTAGATAAATAAATTCCATTTTTTGGGTCTTCTATTTCTCTATGTCTGTCTCTCTATCCATCTCTCTATCATCTATCTATCTACATCTGTTTGTCTATCTATCTATCCTCTATTATCAATATCTGCTTTTATTTGTTTTGATTGGCCAGGTTTTTCAATAATTGATACTTCATTACTTTATTAATTATAATACTACTTTTTATAGATCCTATTCCATTCTGAACTCAAATACAAATTTAGAAATTAGGTGTATGTTGTATAGACATATACTAACAAAAGTCTTAACAGTCATTAGAATGTAAATACACTGCAAGCAAAGCAAAGGTTGCAGAGCATTTGCCCTATCTAAATGTTTGTCCAGTGGCATATATTGTTAGTCATATAGAATCAGCATAGGCCACTTTGTCTCCCAGAAATGCTTGAAATAGAAAATTACTGTTAGCCGGGCTCGGTGGCTCAGCCTGTAATCCTGTGCCTTTAGGAGGCTGAGGTGAGTGGATTGCCTAAGCCCGTGTGTTCGAGACCCGCCTGGGCAGCAAGACCTCATCTGTACAATAAATCAGAAAATCAGCCAGGCGTGGTAGCGCATGCTTGTAATTCTGGCTACTTGGAAGGCTGAGGTGGAAGGATCGCTGGAGCCCAGCAGGTCGAGGCTGTGGTGGCCGGGAGCAGCTACTGCACTCCAGTCTGGGCGACAGAGTGAGACTCCAACTCAAAAAAAAAAAAGGAAAATTACTGTTTATCATTATTTAAAAAAAAATCTTCCACTTCTCAGTTTCTTCAAGCTCATCTCCCCTAATTACTTCCTCTCCAAATAATCCTTAAGTTTCTCAGTCTAGGCTGTGGCTCTCTTGTATCCTGTTGTAGAGAAACCCATTATGCAGAGAAACCCAGATTCAGCAGTGAGGTGTTTTTATGAAACACATGAGACAATGTGATGAATTGTTCTATAGATGGTCCTTTCACACCAGTTTCGACTTAGCCTGCATGATCCTAGGGTCCCAAGTACAGATTTAGATCCTGTATTAATTAGCTGGGGCTATCACAGCAAAATATCACAACAGAAATGTGCTTTCTCACAGTTGTGGGTATGGTTAGGGAAGTCCAATATCAAAGTTCTGGCCAATGTGCTTCCTGGTAAAGACTCTCTTCCTGGCTTGCATTTGGCCACTTTCTTGTGTCTCTACCTGGAGGTGAGAGAGAAAGGATAGAGGGAGAGAGAGAAAGAGAGTGGGAGAGAGAAGGAGAGAGAGAGAGGGAGAGGGAGAGAGAGAGGGAGAAAGGGAGAGGGAGACGGAGAGGGAGAGGGAGAGAAAGAATGCAACACACACAAACGGAGAGAGAGAGAGAGAGAGAGAGAGAGATGGAGAGATAGATTAGGGTTCTATATATAAATTTTTGACAGAGTTCAGTTTTGTTCATAGCAGATTCCCTGTGCTCTGGACATAAAATAGTTTTTACTATGCTCAATGCATGTGCTAATACAAGGGACAATTATGATGTGTTAAATTTTCCAGTATTTCAACCAGTCTTATATGGTTTCAATTAATGCCAAAACTCTACTTATAACAGATTGGAGCAGAATCCTTGCCATGCTCAATATTGATTTATAAACAGGGGACAGTGTGTCAGAGATCTATTATTGATTATCTAGTGATGCATTAACATTAAAGTACAAAGTTTCACTTGCTAAAACACACCCAATTTCTTTTTATTTTATTTATTTATTTAATATTTCTTTTTAAAATTTGAGCCCTTGCATTTTTATTTTATTTTTTATTATAAAGATGTGGGGTACAATCCAGGGTTAGGTATACAAATGTTGATTATGCAGGTATCCTTGTTGATGAGGTATGCCCTTCTCTCCCCCAGCAGTTTTCCTCAACTGCCAATCCCACCCTCCTTGACAGTTTCCCACTACTGCCAATCCCTTTCTAATAAGTATCTTTTATTTATTTATTATAAAGATGTGGGGTACAATTCAGGGTTAGGTATACAAGCATTGATTATGCAGGTACCCTTGTTGATGAGGTATGTCCCTCCCTTCCCTAGCAGTTTCCCTCAACTGCCAATCCCACCTCCCCTCCCCTGACAGTTTGCCATTTTTGCCCTGCACTTTCCTATAGTATTATAATTGTTCAAGATCCACTTGTGAACACCCCCAATTTCAAAGTGTGCTTTCTCATTTCTAGTTTCTACAAATGTTATTGGTCCCACGATCTAATATGCCCTTATTTCTCAGGTTTGGAAGAAGGTTAATTCTCAGATGGTTTTACTTCAAGCTTGCCATTGCTGACATCTGTGCAGCCGTTGCTCCTACCTTCCACATTTACTGCTCATTACGCTTCTTGGCTGGGATTGCAACCAAGGCCGTCATGGAAAATAATATTATACTCAGTAAGTCAACATTGAATCTTGAAAATTTTCAAACCTCAATTTTGACCTTAAAAGTCTACCTTTGTTTGAAGTCTAAATCGTGTTAGTGTTTCTTTGCAGATTCAGAGTGGCTAGCACCTCGATTCCAAGCCGTGGGAATGACCTTGACAAGCAGTATGGTTGCTGTTGGACAGATTATACTGGGAGGACTGGCGTTTGCTATTTCTGATTGGTTCATCCTTCAGCTGGTGATTTCTGTGCCAATATTTGTCTTCTTCTTGTCTTCAAGGTATAAGCTTTCCATCTTCCTCTGTCTTAGAGAATCCCAAGATATCTAAAATACATGAAATTGGTCTTGTGAATTCTGTAGGGTCCTTACAATAGCATAAGATATAGGATTACCATAATATTAAGGACACAGAATTAAATTTGATTTTAGGTAAATAACAAATTGGTTTTTTTCATTTTATTCTAAATCTTGCATGAACCCTAGTTACATTGATTATTATTCACTCTGTATGTGAAATTTTTATTTATCTGAGAGTGCAATGTTTTTATTTGACAACTGTATAAAATAGAGATGTTCCATTAAATTCAGATTTCAAATAAGCAACAAATAAATTTTATGTAAGTATATTCTCAAAATATTACATAGAACATAGTTCCCTAAAGAACTATTTGCTATTTATTTCAATTATACTTTAACTAGGCACACTATATTTTTATTTGCTGAAACTTGAAATCTGGCAAAGTGGGGACCAAAAGTAGGCCCAAACTTTACCTGTATGATGACCACTTGTATCCTTAATCCTGAATTGTACTCCAGATCTTCCAAATAAAATAAATTAAAAAAACTTGGAATCTGCCCTGAATAACAGGGATGCCAATATGATTCATTCTGAGTGTGTATGTACTGCATGGAAGGTCATCTTTATATTGCCCTAGTAAGGGCATAAGAGAATGTAAGTTTATTTTTCCTGGTATTTATTTAATATTTCAATGCTCAATGCATATGTTAGTACAAGGGACAATTATGATGTGTTAAATTTTCCAGTATTTCAACCAGTCTTATATGGTTTCAATTAATGCCAAGACTCTACTTATAACAGATTGGAGAAGAATCTTTGCTATGCTCAATATTGATTTATAAACAGGGGACAGTGTGTCAGAGATCTGCTATTGATTATCTAGTGATGCATTAACATTTAAAGTACAAAGTTTCACTTGCTAAAACACACTTGTATCCTTAATCCTGAATTGTGCTCCAGATCTTCCAAATAAAATAAATTTAAAAAACTTGGAATCTGTCCTGAATAACAGAGATGCCATTATGATTTATTTTGAGTGTGTATATACTGCATGGAAGGTCATATTTATATTGCCCTAGTAAGGGCATAAGATAATATAAGTTTATATTTCCTTGCATAACTAAAAAAGTGGTGAGTATTAGATAGGAGAGAAAAAGGCATCTCAGGGTACAGGTTATGTGAAACACTGCGAAGTGAAGGTTAACTGCATGTCTTCCATCTTCTATGACCAGGTGGCTGGTAGAGTCTGCTCGGTGGCTGATTATTAACAACAAACCAGAGGAGGGCTTAAAAGAACTTAGAAAAGTTGCACACAGGAATGGAATAAAGAATTATGGAGACATCCTAACCATGGAGGTGAGTAGAATAGGAGGTGAACATGGGATGTGGGAAAGACAGAACCTGACATATATACTACTTAATGTCCATAAGGTGAATAAAATGTGAGAACACAGGTGTGTGGTTATTGTCTTCTTTTTTTTTTCAGATGTTGGCAAAGTTATTTATTTGTTTATATATTTTTTGTAAAAATACAGATAATAAATATTTTGGCTTTTTCAGCCACATGTCTCTGTCAAATATCCTTTTTTTGTGATGTTAAGATTCAGGGTACAATTTAGGATTAGGTATACAAGTGGACATCATACAGGTAAAATTTGGGCTTCCCTTTGGTTCCAGCTTTGCCTGGTTTGAGATCAGGAACACTTAGTGATGTTTGTCCCCCCCTCCACTCCCGCTACTGCCAATTCCTTTCTTACAGTATTATAGTAAATGTTCAGGGTTCATTTATGTGTGAGCACATGTGGTACACTGTTCTTTTGTTTCTTTGAAAGATCACTGGCTATTATTGACTCTAAATCCATCCAAGTTACTGTGAAGTGTGTATGTTTGTCCTTCTTTAAGGCTGCATAATATTCTATCATGTATATGTACCACATTTTTAAAATCCAGTCCAACTTTGATGGGCAACATGGTTGGTTCCATGTTTTTGCTATTGTGAATGTTTGTTGCAGCACCTTGAGTCCATTGAGGCTGGACTGGATAAAAAAATGTGGTACATAAACATAATGAAATATTTTACAGTCATTAAGAAGGAAAAACATATGGATTTCACAGCAACTTGGATGGATTTAGAGTCTATAGTAATGAGTGATCTATCACAGAAACAAAGAACAGAGTACTATATGTTCTCACTCAGAAGTGGACCTTGAACAATTATCATAATACTGTAAGAAAGGGATTGGCAGTAGTGAGAAACTGCTAAGGGCACACGGCGTGGGCGGGGGGGATGAGATTGGTAGTTGAGGGAAACTTCCAGGGGAAGGAGGGGTACACCATATCAACAAGGGTACTTGTATAATGAACATTTGTATACCTAACCCTGAATTGTACCCCACATCTTTAAAATAAAGAAAAAAAAAGGAAAAATAAATAAATAAATATGTGTGTGCAGGTATCTTTTTTGTAGAATGCTTTGAGTTCCTCCAGGTATATTCCTAGTAGGGTGATTACTGGGTCATATGGAAGGTCAGTTTCCAATTCTTTTAGAAATCACCACACTATTTCCATAGTGGTTGAACTAGTTTGCATTCCTACCAGCAGTATAGAAGTGTTCTCTTTCTCCACACCCTTGCCAGCATCTGTTGTTGTTTGTTTTATTGATGATGGTCATTCTTACTGGGGTTAGGTTGTATTTCAATGTGGGTTTGATTTGCATTTCTCTGATGATGAGTGAGGCTGAGCACTTTTTCATGTGTCTGTTGGCTGCCTGTATATCTTCTTTTGAGAAGTCTCTATTCATGTAGTTTTCCACTCTTTAATGGGGCTGTTTTTTAAATCCTTTTGGCATGTTTGAGTTCCTTGTAGATCCTGAATGTTAGGCCTTTATCAGATATATAGTTGTCAAATATTTTTTTCCATACTGTGGAGGTCTGCCTGCTCTTTTGATGGTTTCTTTTGTTTTGCAGAAGCATTTCAGTGTAATGAGGTCCCACTTGTCTATCTTATCTCATATGGCATGGATATCTGGGTTTTGATCAGAAATTGGTTGCCTACTCCAATTTGTGTAAGGGTGTCTCCTGCATTTTCTAAGATTCTATAGTTTGAGATTTTACATTTAGGTTTTTGATTCATTGGAGTTGACTTTTGTGTGTGGTGATATGTAGGGGTCTTGTTTCAATCTTCTGCATGTGGTCAGTCAATTTTCCCAGAACCATTTACTGAATAGGTTCTCCTCTCCCCAGTGGTTGTTAGGGGAGTCTGTGTTGAAGGTGAGTTGATTGAGAAACTGAGGTTTTGTTTCCAGAACCTCATTTGTCCATATGCCTGTTCTTGATGTTTTGATTATTGTAGCCTTATACTAAAGTTTAAAGTTAGAAATGTGATATCTTCTGTCTTTTTTCTTTTGCTAAGGATTGTTTTGGCTATCTGTGGTCATTTATATTTCCATATGTATTTAAGTATTGCAATTTCCAGGTCTGAGAAGAATGATGTTGGTATTTTAATGGGTAATGTGCTGAATTTGTAGATTGCCTTTGGTAGGATGAACAGTTAACAGTGTTCGTTCTTTCTATCCATGAGCACGGAATTCTTCCATTTGTATGTGTCTTCTTGAATTTCTTTGAGCAGTGTTTTATAGTTTTCATTGTAAAGGTCTTTCACTTCTCTGGTTAGGAAGATGATGAAGTATTTCATTTTCTTGGTGGCTTTTGTGAATGGTATTGTGCTTTTTATTTGGATTTCTGCCTGTTTGTTGTTGGTGTATAAGAATGTGATGATCTTTTGCACATTTATTTTGTACGCCAAGACTTTGCCAAAGTCCTTTATCAGTGCAAGGAGGTTTTTTATAGATTATCTTGGATTTTTGAGGTATAGGATCATACTATCAGTGAAGAGGGATAACTTAATTTATTTTCATACCTGGATACCCCTGATTTTCTTCTCTAGTATAATTGCTATTGCTAGGACTTCCAACACAATATTGAACAGGAGGTGTGTGAGTGGGCAGCCTTATCTTGTTCTGGTTTTCAGGAGAAATGCTTCCAGTTTCTGTCCATTTAGCAATATGCTGGCTGTGGGTTTATCATAGATGGTACTTACTATTTTAAGGTATGTTCTTTCTTGTGTGTGTGTGTGTGTGTGTGTGTGTGTGTGTTTGTGTGTTGGAGTCTCACTCCATTGCCCAGGCTGGAGTGCAGTGGCATGCTCATGGCCACCCCAGTGTTCAACCTGCTGGGGTCTGATGATCCTTCCACCTCAGCCTCCCAAGTAGCTAGAACTATAGGCACACACTACCACTCCCGGCTAATTTTTGATTTATTGTAGACCCAAGGTTTCTCTAAGTTCCCTGGGTTGGTAAAGAACATGCAAGAGCAGGTAATTCACTTGTCTTGGTCTCCCAGTGTGCTAGGATTACAGGCTGAGCTGCCAAGCCTGGCCCCCCCTTTTTTTCAATTGGAGTCTTACTCTATTGCCCAGGCTGGAGGGTAGTGGCATGCTCATGACCATGTGACCTCAACCTGCTGGGCTCAGGCAAGCCTTCCATCTAAACCTTCCAAGTAGCTGGAACTACAGGCAAGTGCCATCATGTCCAGCTAATTTTTCTTCATTTATTGTAGAGATGAGGTCATGTCAAGTTGCCCAGACTGGTCTCAAACCCATGGACTCAGGCAATTCTCTGACTTTGGCATCCCAAAGTGCTGAGATTATAGGCATGAACCTCTGTGGCCTAGGAGGTATGCTCCATCTTTGCCCGAGTGTTCAAGGGCTTTTATCAAGAAGAGATGCTGGATTTTTATCAAAGGCTTTTTCTGCATCTAATAATATAATAATGTAGTTCTTGTTTTTACATCTGTTGACGAGTTTAATTACATTGATGGTCTTGCAGATGTTGAATCAACCCTGAAACCTGGGGGTGAAGCCTATTTGGTCATGATGGATGATTTTTGAGATGTGTTGTTGATTCTGATTTGCTAGAATCTTGTTAAGAATTTTTGCATCTATGTTCAATAGGGATATTGATTTGTAGTTCTCTTTTTTTGTTGGATCATTGCCTGGTTTGGGTAACAGTATGATGTTAGCTTTATAAAAGAATTTGGGGAGAATTTGGTCTTTCTTAATTGCCTGGAATACTTTCAATAGGATTGGTATCAGCTCCTCCTTGTATGTTTTGTAGAATTCCTCTGGAAAGCCATCTGGTCCACTTTTTTTCTAGGTAGTTTTCTTTTGGTTGAGTCAATTTTCTGTTTATTTAGTGTCCAAATGTCTTTTTGTTTCAACCTTGGTAGGTTGTGTGATGTCAGAAAGTCCTCTGTGTTATTTAGGTTATCAAGTTTTTTTCCATACAGGTGTGCATACTAGTCGCTAATAAACTTTTGTATTTCTTCAGGGTCAGTTGTGATCTGTTCTTTTGCATTTTTGGTTGTGTTTATTTGGGCTTTTTCTCTCTTTTTCTTGGTCATTCTGGCTAGGGATCCATCAGTCTTATTTATTCTTTCAAAGAGACAGCTTTTTGTCTTCTTGATTTTTTCTATATTTTTGTCTTCAATGTCTCGTATTTGGACTTTCACTTTGGTGATCTAGATTCTTCTGCTAAAGTTAGGGTTTTGGCAGTCTTGTCTTTCTAACTGCCTTAGGTGATTTGTTAGGCTGTTAACTTGTGATCTTTCCATTTTCTTGATGTGTTCATAGAGATATAAATTCCCCTCTTAGAAATGTTTTCATGGCATCCCAGAGGTTTTGGTAAGGTATTTCTTTGTTTTCATTTGTTTCCAGGAATCTTTTAATTTCTGTTTTGATCTCCATGTTGACCAAGTAATTGATCAACATCATGCTGTTTAGTACCCATATCTTTGTGGGTTTAGGGTGAATTTTGTTGGTATTGGTATTTATTTTTATTCCACTGTGGTCAGAGAAGGTGCATGGCGGTATTTTGAATTTATAAAATTTGCTTCTGCTTGATTTATGGCTGAGGATATGATCCATCTTGGAGTACATTTCCTGTGGTGATTAGGGGAATGTATACTCTATGTTTGTTGGACAAAGTGTTCTGTTGGTGTCTATTAAGTCCATTTGGTCCAGTGTCAAGTTGAGATACTGAATCTCTTTGTTGATTTTTTGCCTCAATGTTATATCTAGGGTTGTGGGTGAGATGTTTAAGTCCCCAGTTATAATAGTGTTAGAGTCAATATTGTTTTTTAGTTTGCTTAGTATTGCTTTAAAAAAAACTGGTGCTCCTGTGTTGGGTGCATATATGTTTAGGATGGATAATTCTTGTTGATGGATGGAACTTTTTATCATTATGTAGTGTCATTTTATATCTTTTAAATTTTTTGATAGCTTAAAGGTTGTTTTGTTTG